GTTAATATATATATTGTCTTGACATCAGCATTACAACCACATTTAAAGATGAATCAACATAATGTTCATCTACTTAATCTTTCAAATGAAATATTATTCATCATTTTGAAAAAACTTGAGAATGTTCATGTTCTTTATTCTTTAATGGGTATCAACAATCAACGACTTGAAATTATAGCACAAGAACAAATCTTCACTAACATCCTTCACTTTACTTCCGCATCACGATCAACTGATGAGATTTATTCAATTTTTTCAACAATACTTAATCAATTTTGTATCGATATATTACCTAGAATTCATAAAAATGTTAAATCGCTCATTGTTGAATATTTTTCTATGGAATGTATTTTTGGCGCTAGTATCTATTCTAATCTTACTCAACTCCAAATTTTTAATTTCAACAAAGGAATGGTTTCACGTTATTTCATTGGTAAGATATTCATCTATACTGATCTTTTAAAAGATTAGCATAGAAAAATATTTAGATCTTCAGATTAAATGATATACGTTTTGTTTAGATGATTCTTACTTTGAACATATTTATAAACAACAAATTACAGATCTTATTCGTGTCAGTAATGATAAAAATGTTGAAATATCGCAAGAAGAGGATACCAAGGATGTGTATGCAATTATTTTTACTTTCTTTGAAAATCTAAAGCATTTGAGTATTGTTTCAGCATCTACTGATGACTATCCACCTTTGTCGTTATATATTTCATCACTGACTTTTTCCTCTTCGACACTTACCAAATTATCTATCAATGTTGATGATTTTGATGATTGTCTTGCTTTACTTGATGGTCGTTTCAAACAATTAAGTACATTCATCATTCAAATTAATCTTATCTACCATCGGATATTAGGATCTTACAACATGGTGAGTGTCATACTTTCTCTTATTATTAATATCGAATTCTAAAATCTAGTTAGAAATACAATAAATATAATGAGATTTGTGAATTAGTAAATATGTTATTTTAATTTTGATATTAGAACATATGCAGAATAGATTGTTATGCTTATGTTGATCATGTTCGAGATTATTTCATAAAATAATCAACATTCATTTAAAAGTGGTTAATCAATCTTTGTAGGTATTAAATGGCTCGATAGAAAATATTTTTTATGAATTATGTTAAACTTATACATCTATAGAAAAAGAAATTGAACATAGAGTTATTTCTAAAATAAACACTTTCATAAATCTAGTATTCTTTTAAACTTCATTTAATTTTGCTGTTAAAAATCAGCATAGTTACTTAAAAGAATGATTAGTTTTTCTTTACAAATAATGTTTTCTTGTAAGATCGATATAATGAATGTTATTGAATACTTTGAAACATGTTGAGAAAACTCATTCTTATATAATATTTTTATAATTTTGTCGAATAGTTCATTAGTTTCGATATATATGTCTGAACTTAACGAATATAAAGTAATCATGTATTACTTGATAATAGATATATTTCATAGAATTCAAGAACTATATGGAAAATGAATAATATCTATGGATTAATTGTTGATATTAATTTCTCCACTGAATTCATAAAGAGAAATTTACAAAATATTTATTTTCTATATTTCAGGCTTCACTAGCTAATTTAAAATGTTTCTCATTAATATGTTATAATAGTACGCGAGGATATGACAATTTAATTCTAACACTTCGTCGAATGTCATATGCTGAAGAATTAAGTTTATATATTCATATATTCAGTGGATCAACATTCATCTCTGGTATTCATCTTAATAATAAAATTCTTAGTCAAATGCCACGACTTCATACATTCTCATTTTATTTCGCTTCTGAAAATGCTGTTGCTGATTCAGATATTCGTATATCTAATTCAGATATGGAACAAACTTTTACCAATACAAAACATCGACAGATAGGTTCTTTGATAGATTATGATACTTGTAGGAAATTGATTTGTCGTGTCTTTTCACTTCCATATAAATTTGATCGTCTGACAAATATCACAAATAATATTCCAAATATTGTATTCAATTCTGTTACTCATTTGAAATTACGCGATAAATATCCATTCAAACACGAATTTTTCATTCGACTTGCTCGTGGTTTTTGCATTTCTTAGAAGTTTATCTATTGACACTATTCTAGCACCAAACTGGTGAGCTGACGAATATCATCTTAAACATATTGATTGGTGCGTAATTGTTGAATATCCTCACCTTATTTCACTTGGCATCGATTCTGCAAATATTTATTATGCTGAACATTTTCTCAATGAAACAAAAACACATCTACCTTGTTTAACTGAATTAAAAATTCGCTATGAAGATTTGGAAATGGTGACAAAAAATTTTACAAGAAATGAAACACGACGTAATTGTACTAAAGTGAACCGATTAATTGTTAAAGATTTCATAGTTTATCCGAAAGATGTTTATCATTATTTTCCTTTTTTGGGACTTTATTGTTGTTCTGTAGTTATCTGAATAAAAAATCTGTGATGTAAATTAGAATTTTTTTTTCTTACAACATCAATTAGCAAGCGAAAAATGTTTGTTATTTATGAATACAAAATCTGCTTCTGAAAGCTGTCGTCAAAACGATTATTCATTTTTTTGTGTACAAAAAAGTGAGTACATTATAGAATCGGTGAGTGTGTGCATCTGACCGTGTATACGATAAGTCTTCAAACGGTAATCCCATTGTGATGAAATTTTGGACACTGAATTGTCTCATCAATATCCCGGTCGAGTTCGAAGATGAGAATAATTCGTCAAGAAATTGCTGAGTTATAGCAAACAATGTCATTATTTCCTGTGCTTTTCTATGGGAACATTGACCTATCTCAGTGTTCGTAAAAAACTTTTTCTCTCATAATCAAAACAAAATGTCAACTATTATATACCATTCGTTAGAGAATTTCACGGACTACAAGATGGTATAAAACACAGTAAGAAACAAGAAGGGGAAATCATATATTACAAAGATACTTACTTCAGCTGAAAGTGATGTCTACCACTTTATGAGTTGATGAACTGCAAAAACAGTACCCGCATATGTAGGCCTCGGCGACCTTTATTAAGTTAGATATTGAGTCACTGGTCAGTTTAGACAAATAAGTCATCAAAGCCTTTCTTGACAGATTAGTAATTATAGCATGTCTAGACATCAAAATTATCCTAGCAAGCCTTTTTTCCTAAAATTCGTTTCCTATTTTAGATAGTTTGATCAAAACCAATCTGTCGCCAATTACTTTTAACTTTTTCAAGCACATATAACATTGAGATTTAAATCCGCGATTTTCACATTTCTACATCATTTAGCGATGATTGAGGTACTGTGGAAAACTATGCAACAATACTAAAAGTCTGGGTTTTGTTGGTAATTAGTTTTGCTCTGGGTTTAAGTGGGTATTGACGTTTTTTAAAAAATGCGCGATCATACAAAATCAGATGCAAGAATCTTCACACACCTAGATGATACAGTATGAAAAAATTGTTTGTTGCTACGAACAATTTTACAAATGATGCAACACGACATAATTTTAGTCAATTGAAACAACTAATATTTTTAATGGATTACTTGTCTATTCTCAATATTATCATCTCTATTTTTCTTCTTTGATAAAACAAATTGAGTGGCTGCTAAGACTTTTATTTTGATTTTTTTTGTCATACTGGGGGTGTGGGTTTGGGTCTGGATCTGGATCTTCTTTTCTTCCCTACCCACACCCTCTTGATATAAAGAGGAAAAATTTAGCATGATAATCTTTTTTTGTTGTTCTATCAGAGCATGTCTTTTTTCCTCTATAAATCTTTTTAAACAATGAGTTGCTTCTTTTTTTTTGTATATGTTATTCTTAGAAAATTGAAACAAAAGGTTTAATTATTTTCATTTTCTTTTAGATTGATCCAAGTAAACAACAAGATGAACATTGGGTATTTGGTCGAATCGGTAATGATAAATAAGGATTTTTCCAGCAGTCTATGCTGAATGTATAACGTAAGTTTTGAGAGAAAAAAAAAATCATTTCATCGTAGACTCAGTCAAATTATATTTTTAACAATCATGAAAATTTTTTAAAATAAGAACAAAATGATGTTCACTTAAAGAGTGATAGAAAAGTTTAGAGTGGTTTCGTTTTCCAGGCCGCACGCTCTTAGGATATTGGAAATTTACTAGAGTTTTCAACAGAAAGCTGTAGTACTTCTTTACTTTTACATATAAGAGAATTTCAAATATTGAACATTTCAGAATAGAAGATACTAGAAAGGTTAAAACTTCCCTGATGAATTAATCTTATTAAGATTTTTGTATCAAATTCGAAATTGAAAGTCGATTTTTCATGGGATATGAGAGAGATTACAGCTATTTGTTGAAAAATGCAGTAAGATTTCGGTATTTCAAACAACAAAGGCTCGGAAAACCAAGCCATTCTACTCTTTTCTATTGCATATGTTTTACTGAATTAACTACTGTCATAGAAACCATGCTTTTTTTTTCATATAGGCCAACACTATCAAATAATATTGTTGATACAACATCACAATTATCGGTATGTTGAATTTTTTTTTTTGGAGTCAAAGCCTTTTTATTAAGATGTTAACAAAAAAGAAGCAACAGTATATACAAATATACAAAAGGCTGGAGAGAAACGCCGAGACGCATGACGAATGTCTTATGTCTCGTGAAAAGAGGTTATACGATGGAAGTTGTTATAATAGTATATATATATATGTATGATGCAAAGTTAAAGTCGATGATTCCGATATAACATTTTTTGTATGGATTCGGTCGACTCAACAATGATCGATAATGACGATGCTATATGTAATATGTAACATGGGTAGGTGATTTCTTATTGAAGTTTGTTGAATATATCTTGCAGGTTGTTGGTTAGTAGTTGGTCGTTATTTGATGTTGCTGTTTGAATATAACGTTGCAGGAGAGTAACGGCATATTCTTTAATTTTGGGGATATTGGTAATTCGATGGATATATTCGACGGATGTATATATGGGTAATCCTAATGCAGCACGAATGGCTTTGTTTTGCATTATTTGTAGTCTTTCCCATATTTTATCATTGGCAGTAAGTAATATTGGATAACCATAGATGATAATCGATCTTGCAATTGATTTGAAGATGTTTAACATAATTTTGTCATTAGGTTCGTAAGCTGCTCTGTTTAAAAACCGTAACAGACTAATACGACCAGCAATCTTCGATTCAATGTGATGGATATGACTTCTCCAATTCAACGTTTTGTCAATAATAACACCTAAATATCTTGTTGAGTTGGATGGTTTGATGTATATATCATCTATTTTGACTGCGACTGGATTTTTATATTGTTTTCTTGGATGTACAGTGAAGTGGACGAGTTCAGTTTTTGTTGGTTGTAATTTTAGTTTCCACGATTTGCACCAACTTTGGAATGCATCTATGGATTGTTGTAGGCGGGAATTAAGGCTTGTTATTGTGTTGGATGATGTCCATAGTGCGGTGTCATCGGCAAAAAGACCATGTTCTGTATGTTCTGGTATTCCATTCATCGAATCTGCCGTATATATAATGTAGAGTAATGGTGATAACGGAGATCCTTGTGGAGTACCACTATTAAGGTTGAATGGTCTGGATAATATATTTTCGATTTCTATAACAGCAGTTCTGTTTTGAAGAAACGAAATCAGATAATTTGTTAAATATTGTGGTAGACGTAGTTCATTTAATTTATATATTAGTCCTTCATGCCAGACAGAGTCAAATGCAGCTTTAATATCAAATAATATAACTGCTGCATGACGACTATGATCAGTTGAATGGAGCTGATTTTGTGTATACTTTGTCAGCCTTATGATGTTGTTTAAAGTGCTTTTCCGTGGTCGAAAGCCAGCTTGATGTTCTGGAAGGATGTTGCGTCGGTCCAGAATAACCATCAGTCGTTGCTTGATTATTTTCTCCAGAAGTTTGCCGAGGCAACTAAGAAGACTAATCGGACGATAACTTGACGGATGTTGTCTATCTTTGTTGGGCTTTAATAAAAGTATAATATTTGCATTTTTCCATCCACTTGGAATATAACCCATATTTAATATGGAGTTGAATAATTTAGTCAGATGTTGAATCAGTGATTGTGTGTGATTTTTCAGACATCTGTTGTGGATGTTGTCAGGCCCAGTGGAGGTGTTTCGAAGTTGTTTGATGTTATATTTAACTTCTTCTATTGTGATCTTCTTCCACTTGTTTAGTTTCGTGTTAGAAGATCTGTGTTTAATGTTAAAAGTTTCTCTTGTCACTTGCTGATGAAACGGTAATGTGTCAGGAGCTTTGACATAGACTTCATTTTGAAAATATCCAGCAAATAGATCGGCTTTTTCCTTATCTGATGTTGCAGTCACATTGTTATATTTGATGTTGTTACTGTGGCTTTGTTTTATTCGCTTGTTGTGAAACTTGCGAACCGTAAGCCATACTGAATCTGAATACATTTTCTTCTGACATAATGACGACATAAGGTTGTTAAAGTTGATTTTTCTGTCGTTTCTAAGTGAATTTGTCAGTAACAACTTACATTTATAATATTGCTGTTTTTCACTATCTTCTCCAGTCTTCTTCCATTTACGATAAGTTTTATGTTTGAGCTGGATCAGATGTTTGGTTGCTTCACTTAGTTTAATGTTTGTGTTCAATTTTTTTGATGTTGGTATGGCTTCTTGTGTTGCTGTAGTAATGCTGTTGGTAATAAACGGCGTATATTCTTCTATATCTGATTCTGAATTTATATAACGATGTTTGTTCCATAGTATTAGTTGTTCATTTAATGTATTTCTAAATTTTGGCCAATTTGCTGCTTTGAAGTTAAGGGATAATCTTGGAGATGCAGGTTTGGGTTCAGATCCAATTGGTAAATCGAAGGTTAATGGTTTGTGACCACTTAATGTACCGATTGTTGGGTGGGTTTCGACGTTTGATATTAATGAATGAAGAGGTTGACTGGCTAATATCCAGTCGATCTTTACTTCATAATCATTCTTTTCATATGTGGTACTAACATCATCAATACAGTTAAAATAACCTTCATTTATTACCTCTTGTAACTGTCTTCCTCTTGCATTTGTTTTTCTTGATCCCATATTGTATAATGTTGCGTTAAGGTCGCCTACTATGATACAGTTGTTGTTTAAATTGTACAGTTCATTAAAGATGTTGATCTGGATTTTTGCTGTTGGTGGTACGTAGATCGAAGAGATTAATACGCTCTTTAATGAACGTGTAGCAATTTCCACAGCTATAATTTCATTTTTTCCAACAGTTTTGCTAAGAATTTCATTACATTTGATATGTTGTTTGACAGCTAGTAATACTCCTCCACCAGGTTTTCCTACTCGGTCATTTCTGAAAATGTTGTAACCTTTCATAGAGAACGGTTGGTCTCTTTTCAGATTAGTTTCATTTACAGATATGACGTCGTATTTGGAGAATCTAGCAAGGAGTTCGTCTTTGTGTTTTCTGATAGTGGTGATGTTAATATGACAAACACTAATCATCGTTGTTGCTTGTTTTGAGATCTTTGCTGTCAAATGTTGATGTATCTAAGGAGCTGTTGGGTGATCGAACTCTTTTGGCTGCTTTCGAAACTTCTTTAACTTTTCGTTGTGGTTTTGATGAAGTTACATTTGAGGTTGTTGTTGGTTTGTTTGATGTGTCAGTTGCTGAGGTGGTTAATTTGGTTATTGCTGCACTTGGTTTTTGCTTGTTTCTAATGTGTTTAACTACTTGACTTTCTTCTTCTGAATCAGAATCCGATATAGTCAAGGCATCTTTAACGTTGTTATCTTGTGTTTCGATGAATGTTTCGATCTTCTTGATTTTGTTAAGTAGCTTCTGGAATAGTCGGCTGGTTGTTTCTTCGATAATCTTTTCCATTTTGCTGCTTAATACATTAATAATTTCATCGAATAATTCATTATGAATGTGTTCTTGTTGACGTTGTAAGAGGTTTGGTAGCAATGGAAATTCGTTTAAGTCATGAATGGCTGGAGCTGATGTCGTTGGTGTATTCGGAGATGAATATTGATTAACTAGATTTTTAATTCGTTTCTCCTGTTCCTTATAAGTTGCACATTCATTTGATGTTGCTATATGACTTCCTTTACAATTGCAGCATTTTATTAAATCACTAGCAGCAGTACATTGTTCAATGCGATGAGTTTCACCACATCTAGCACATATCTGCTGTTTCGTTTTGCAGTATTTTGCCACATGATTGTATTGCAGACATATAAAGCATTGTACAGGTTTAGTGTTTTGATTTGCTGCTTCAGCTATGAAATGCATTGAGTCCACTTGTAAACCAGTATGGACGAATGTATTTCGATTATGTGGATCACTAAATGTAATCTTGATCGTTCTAGTAGGAACATTTTTAGTTTTATTCACTAGTCGAACAACATCAATAGCATCAAGTCCAACGTCCTTTAATGCTTCAGTTATTCGACCTTCAGGAATTTCTATGTCGACATTTTTAACAAATGCGACCTTTTCCGTATCTTTAATACGTTGAATGGATCGGGGCACATATATTTTAGCTGTAGCCTGTCCATTTGTTGCAAGTATTGGTGTTAACTCATTTAATAGACGATTAAACGAGCTAACATCAGCTGCATATATTGTAAAGTGGCCTGATCGACTCAGCTGAATATCAGATATTCGTAAGTCCTTTAAATGCTGTTTGATAACATCATTTAATTGTAATTTATGTAGCTTAACACCCTCTAGAATTAGAGGAGCAATGCTAAAATTTGATTGCTTTATCAGGCCAGCCTTTGTTCCTGAAGAAGTCTTTGTTGTAGCATAGGCCTTTGTTCTCGGAATATGACTCATCGCCATTGTTCCTCCAACATCAGCTACTGCTGTTTGACCTTGATTTACATTTTCACCATTAACATAAATTTGTCCTTGTTTGGATAAATTAGTTCCTCCTTTTCTGGGAGGCATAATTAACGATGAACCACTCGTAGAATCGACTGGAACTAATTAACTTAATTAATAATTTCAAAAATAATTTGAAAATAATGTAATATAAATAATTTATCAAATAAATGAATTCGACGAGTTGAACAAAGAAATGTACGTAACCGACGAAAATAAGATGCGACTTATCTCGACCGTGTAAAAGTGACGAATGGTATGTTGAATTGATTGATTATTGTTCGTTTTTTCATTTTATGATTTGATTTGTAGTCTAGATCGTGGGTGATGACATTAGCAGAATGTCAAGGCAAAACAGTTGATAAACATTTATCATTTCAAAAAGGTGAATTTATTCTTGTACGAGAACAAAAAGATGCAACATGGTATAGTGGTCAGCTTAATGACAAAGTAAATTTTGAATTTTTATTATTTATTATTGAAATCAAACAAAATTTTTATTTAAGATTGGTTGGTTTCCACGAAATTATGTTCGACCAGCAACTGAAATTGAGATAGAAAATAATAAAAATTTGACAAAGTAAATTGATATCTTTTAAATGTTGTTATATATAATTATATAAGATTTTACCTAACAGATATTTACTAAAATATTATTGATAATTATATAAATATCGTGGATGAGTATAATCATAGTAATTAATAGGATTGAAATGGTGTTTTTTTTTAAAATTTTCTTAAGACGCTTTTCTACTACCATTAGATATTACCCCCAAGCATAAAAAAAAATTTTACATTGATATAAATAAATAGTTAATCGAATGAATATTTTTCTATCTATTTAGGAAAGCATCAATAAGTGAAAAATCTTTGAATTTACCAACTTCTAATGATCAATCATTAAATGATGTCGATACTGGTAATATTAATCAATTTTAATTCGATAAGAAAAAAAAAATATTTGATTTTTAAATGAGTACTCAATAGTTTGCCGTTAGTTACACAATCTTTTAATAATTTGTGAGAGTCTTAGATAGTTTTCTACTATTTTTCTTTTTGAATGTTTTCTTTTTCACTATAAACGATTTAATAATAATATTCTTTGTTTTTTATTGAACAAATTAAGGTGATGTATATGAAGCTATTTATTCATATGAAGCAACTGATCCATCAGATTTATCATTTGATATTGGTGAACGTGTTATTGTATTAAAATGTGATGGTGATTGGTGGACAGGACAAATTGGTGATCGTACAGGATTATTTCCAAATAATTATGTTCAGAAAGTTAATAACATACAAAAAACAGTCATTGCAATAACACCATTTCAAGCTACAGAAGAAAATCATTTATCATTTGAACAAAGTCAAATTATTTATATAACCAAAAAAGATGATAAAGGATGGTATCAAGGAGAAATTCGAGTAAATCATAATTTTCTTTTTTTTTCTTTCATTCTAATTTTCATATAAACATTTTTCTTAATGAAAGCTTTCTGATCAACCAGTACCTGTTGGTTGGTTTCCTGGTAATTGTGTACAAATACAAGAAGCTATTTCATCGACAATTTCACATGAAAATACAGCAAGTAAATGTCAATAAGAAAAAATGAATTAGTCTATTTTCATTTCAACAAATTCTTGATAAACATTGGTCTTCAAGAATAGTTTCTTGTACATAAATCTAACATATTTGATATTTTCTTTAGAATTACCTCAATATATTGCTATATTTCCATATGAAGCTCAACAAGATGATGAATTAAGTTTTCCAGCTGATGCTATTTTAGAAATATTACCTGAAGCTAATACTAGTGGATGGTTTAAAGCTCGTTTTGGTGATCAAGTTGGTTTAATTCCATCGACTTATGTACAACCAATTGATACGCATAGTCAATGTAAGTACAATTGAAAGCGGTTAAAAAACCATAAATCTTATTTTTTTTCTTAAATTTAATATAAAATACTTTGACAACAAATACAATGAATGAACAGAATTTCACTTCATTCATACTTTTTAGCAATGTATGTGGATTATTTTTCTGATATTAGATTGAATTAAAAGACAAAGTAGTATTTCTTCATTTTTCTATATATAGGATAGTCTATAAGTAACTTTACAGTCAAACAAAAGTAAATATCTGTTCTATTCTATTAGACTAATTATTTTTTGCGTGAAAAAGGAAATTTGCGAGTTTAATTTTTCAGAAGATCTTCCCACCCTTATAAATAACTTTCATTTTTACTGCACTGTATTTCAATACTAAAAGATAGAAATTCATAATTAAAGCCAATGATGATATTTTAAAGCAATGGTTCTTATGGGAAAAAACCTTTTAGTTTCCTCTATCACGAGACAAAATAAATTAGTCTCATAGAATCGACATATTTAAATTTTCTATCGTTAAATTACTTACGAACCATCCTGTATATTTTGCCAAATTTTATTCATTTTCTAGAACAATAATGATCATCATATCAAAGCATCATCTCACATGAAGTTCAATCACGAAGATGATGATGATGGTGCACAAATGCAGATACATATATATAAGCGAGCACAAATGATTATGATATTTTAAATTAACCCTTGTTGCCCTCTCACCCTTTTGTTCTCATTGAATGCATCACATTGTGTGTTGCTAGTCGTCATTATATTTTATTGAATACAATCACAGACATTTTTATAAGCAATCCACATACATTCGCATTTTATTTTATTTAATTTTCTTCTGTTTTTCGTTTCTCTGTATGTATTGGTCTGATTGTTATTGTTCATGTAACAGTCATATCTCTCTTATACATTCATTTTTATATTCTCTCTCATGTTTCTTTTTTCTCATCGACCATTTCTTTTTTTTTTTCTGTTTGTTTTTCCTATCGTTATCACTAATTTGTCAAAACCTGGTGATAGTGATGATTCAAACGTGGCGTTATTTATATATGTCTCACCAGTCATTAGTATTTTTCTATGCTTTCACATCAGCGTGATTTGATTATATATTCATCTTCTTATATTTATTCTCCTCTATTAGTCATATTTTTCTGTGTTGCCTACTGTTAGTTTGCTCTCTATCATATATCTTTAAAAAAAAAAGAAATATACAACTAGTTATATATATTTGGATAAAAATTAGAAAAAAAATTATCAAAAATTCTTTTCATTTATTTATTCTTTGAACAGAAGAAGATAATGTTTGAAAAAATGCTATCTCTTGTTTGTTGTTGCTTTTCAATGCTAACATCATCTATAGCATCATTATCAACATTCTCTATCAAACATAAACGTCATACAGAGTATAAACAGAAAAAACCTTTTGTGATATCTTGTCGTAAGTCAAGAATGAGTAAAACAAAAAAAATCAAAAGAATTTAAAAAAATCCACCAACATTAAAATTATGTTGACTGCATGAAGATAAATATATATATATATATGAAAGTCTTATAAATGCTCTTTGATATATTTTTTATTTTTTGTTGTTTTCTGGTCTTGTGAAAAAAAAAACATCTTTGTGCATGATAATAAGCGTGGCTTCTTGTCTCCTAGACATAATTTTCCTAAGAAACTAAATAGAATAAATACCACATTGAATAATTTTTTTCCAGCTTCATCTATTCCATATGAACTTTCTTCAAAAATAATTCCATGTACACCGACAACAGCTGATT